GCAGTACAGTGTCACCATAGTGACACTGTACTACTTGTGGGGGGTGATGAACATTTTTTTTTTTTTTTTTTTTACACAGATTGCTTTTACACCCATAAAGGCTGTAAAAGCAGTAATTTCTTCTCTCTGGATGCATTCTTGCAGCCATTGAGAAATACTGTGTGAGCTGTGATTGGTCACAGCTTTTCACATGGTACAAGACTCATGTTGTGAATAGCCTTGTACCCAGGGGCAGACTAACAACTCATGGGGCCCCCTGGCAATAGGGGATCATGGGGCCCCTGTGTCCTTGCGCAAACTCAAAAAAGCCTATGAAAAAGGTAACAGGGGCATCTCATGGGACCCCCTACTGACCGCAGGCCCTCGGGCAGTGCCTGAGTTTTCCAAATGGTCAGTCCGCCCCTCCTTGCACCATGTGATCTCTGTGGTCATTCACAGATTTCACACGTAATAAGCAATGATGTCAGAAGGGACCTCTTGCTTACACCTATTCATGTGATCGCTGATTGACCAATCAGTGATCACATGATCGGAACCTCACATAGAGGTCCCGTACAGCGACACAGCGCACAATCCAAAATGGTGGGCGCAGTTTATGAACGGCAACCCGCCTCTGGACTGCCACCGTCCGGGCCATTTATATACAGCAGCCGGACGGAAAGTGTTTAATGGGAAACTTGAATGGTTTTCAGTAATTTTTATTTTAACTTATTTTTTTTTTACATTTTAGAAGATTTAACATGAATGTTTCAGACTTTTTCTATACATATATACAATATTTATATTAGAAATAAAAATTTAAAGTTTAACCCCTTGCCCTCCAGAGGATTTCTTCTTATGCACATTGTGAGAAGCTCGCAGTGTGCAGTGACATCCGGCAGAGGGTGTCAAACTGGCAAAAATTGTAAAAAATGGTATAAAATGGCGGCCCTGCAGCTGTGGCGAAACTACAAGTCCCATCATGCCTCTGCCTTTGGGAGTCATGCTTGTAACGGTCAATCTTGTAATGCCTCATGGGACTTGTAACAGGGAGAACGGTCAGCCGCACACCGGAGGATTGATGAATATGGTGTATATTTATTGATCCATAGGACACACAATACCAGGACATGAATACAGGACCTGTTAACGTGTTTCACACGATCTCGTGCTTAATCATAACAAAGAAAACAACAAAAATGCTGTCTGATCCGTATTAGTTAACCACTTGACCTCCAGAGGATTTACCCCCCTTAATGACACGCCTCTTTTTGCTACTCGGCGCTGCACTAATTCAACTGATAATTGCGCAGTCGTGCAATGCTGCAACCAAACGAAATTTACGTCCTTTTTTTCACACAAATAGAGCTTTCTTTCAGTGGTATTTGATCACCTGTGCGCTTTTTATTTTTCACGCTATAAACAAAAAAAGGCCAAAAATTTTGAAGAAAAACAATATTTTTTACTTTCAGCTATAAAAAATATATAGTAAACTCAAAGTTGGTTATAAATTTAGGCCAAAATGTATTCTGCCTCATGTTTTTGGTAAAAAAAAATCCCACTAAGTGTATATTGATTGCTTTGTGTGGAAGTTATAGCGTCTACAAACTATGGTATAGATACAGCAATTTACGCCATTTTTTTGCTATAGAGCGCTGCGCAAGTTTAACGGACAATTGCGCGGTCATGCAATACGGTACATAAATGAAATTTACATCCTTTTTTTCCCACAAATTGAGCTTTCTTTCGGTGGTATTTGATCGCCTGTGCGGTTTTTATTTTTGGCGCTATAGAAAAAAAAAGGCTGACAATTTTGAGAAAAAAAAAACAATATTTTGGACTTTTTGCTATAAAACATGTAAAAAAAAAATTTAAAAAATCAAATTTAGTCAGAAATTTCTGCCAAAATGTATTCTGCGACATGTCTTTGCTAAAAAAAAAAAAAAAAAAAAAAAATACGTATAAATTAATTGGTTTACGTGAAAGTTATAGCGTTTACAAATGGCGGGAAAGATACTGGGATTTTTAGTTTTTTTTTTATACTAATAATGGCGGCGATCAGCGACTTATGGCGGCGATCAGCGACTTATGGCAGGATTGTGGCGGACATTCTGACATTGGGGGGTACTGACTTGGGGTCACTGACATCCCCAGTGACACCAATACAGTGATCAGTGCAAAAAAAAAAAAAAAAAAACACTAACACTGTACTAATGGGGGAGGAAGGGGTTAAGTTTATTATTCAGAGAAAGGGTTATCTGTGTGAGGGGAAGTGTTTTACTAGGGGGCGGGGGTGTGTACTGCAGGGAACACCGCTGATTGGGAGAGAGAGAAACTCTTCTATCCTGATCAGCGTGTCCTAGAGCTGTCAGGGAACTGACAGAAAGCACAGGTACTGCAGCTGTGCTCTCTGTCAGCGATTGCCGCCAATCACCAGGACATAGCCAGTAACGACCGGCTGTGACCCGGCGACTGACATCCGTGGCTGTGATCGTTGGGACAGGTAGGGCGGCGGCGGCGCGCCTCGCGCGAACCCCCTATCTGTTTACAAAACACACGTTTTTAAAACGTGCTTTTGCCCAGCCGTGCCGCCCTGCCGCCATATTTCTACAGTGGCTGGGCGGTATGTGGTTAATAAAGAACACCTGTCCTAATCAGCACTCCTGAATCCTGAGGATACACCTACTAATACATTGTGACAAAACATATAACACCATTGTATCAAAAACAGTGATATATCAGAAAACAACAAGGAAGGAGGAAAAGAAAAAGGAAAGTGAAATGGAAGAGAAACAAAGAAAGAGAAAAACAATAATGGATAAAAATAATTATGAAAAAATTATAAATGAAAAGTAAAATGAAAAATGAAATAACATACACAAACACAGATAAAAGCGAGTAAATATCCCAAGAAGATATGGGCTAAGAAGCCACATTTGTAAATAATCAAAATTTAAATAATAATATATACAAAAAACGCATGTCTACTTGGGATAAAGTACAAAAAAAAAAAAAAATCACAGAAAAATCACAAGAAAACATATTCAGACCATAATATATCAAAACAGCAGAAACAATATATATCAAAAGTGAAGCATCAAAAAACAAGAGTAAAGCATCAAAAAACAAAAGTCATGAGACTTGGCAACAGCTGGAGGGCCGCCAGTTTGACAGCCGTGCATCAGAGTAAGAAATTTCAGTCCAGGAGAGGAGCCGCTACAACTGTGCAAGACTGAGGTCAGATTTAACACTTACAAGTGTGCCCATTACAAACTAAAATACTCAGAATTAACCACTTGCCCTCCAGGAGAATGTCCCCCCCCCCCCCCCCCCCTTCCTGACAAGGCACTTTTTTGCGTTACGGCGCTGCATTAATTTAACTGACAATTGCACAGTTATGCAACGCTGCACTCAAATTAAATTTACGTCCTCTTTTTCCCCACAAATAGAGTTTTCTTTCAGTGGTATTTGATTGCCTGTGCGTTTATTTTTTGCGCTATAAACAAAAAAGCCAACAATTTTGGAGGAAAAAAACAATATTTTTAATTTTGTTGCTATTAAACATATCCAGTAAAAAAATTTTAAAAATCAATTTTCGTCATAAATTTAGACCAAAATGTATTCTGCTCCATGTCTTTGCTAAAAAAAAAAATCCCAATATGTGTAAAATTAATTGGTTTATGTGAAAGTTATAGCGTTCACAAATGGCGGCATATATACCGGATTTTTCTTTTTTTATAGTAATGGCGGCTATCAGAGGACTGCGGCGTGCATTCTGACACTGGGGGGGAACTGACTTGGTGTCAGTGACATCCTCAGTGACAACAATGCAGAGATCAGAGCAAATAAAAAGCACTGACATTGTACTAATGACACTGGACAGGAAGGGGTTAACATGTGGAACGATCAAAGGGTTAACTGTGTGTGTTTTACTATGAGGCTGTGTGTGTCCGCTCTCCCCGGACCCCGCATTCACTATATCCACTCTCCCCGGACTCTGCATTCACTATGTCCGCTCTCCCCGGACCCCGCATTCACTATATCCGCTCTCCCCGGACCCTGCATTCACTATGTCCGCTCTCCCCGGACCCCGCATTCACGATATCCGCTCTCCCCGGACCCTGCATTCACTATATCCGCTCTCCCCGGACCCTGCATTCACTATATCCGCTCTCCCCGGACCTGCATTCACTATATCCGCTCTCCCCGTCCCTGCATTCCCTATATCCGCTCTCCCCGTCCCTGCATTCCCTATATCGGACTCCCCGGACCCCGCATTCACTATATCCGCTCTCCCCGGACCCTGCATTCACTATATCCGTTCTCCCCGGACCCTGCATTCACTATATCCGTTCTCCCGGACCCTGCATTCACTATATCCGTTCTCCCCGGACCCTGCATTCACTATATCTGGTCTCCCCGGACCCGCATTCACTATATCCGCTCTCCCCGGACCCGCATTCACGATATCCGCTCTCCCCGGACCCTGCATTCACTATATCCGCTCTCCCCGGACCCTGCATTCACTATATCCGCTCTCCCCGGACCCTGCATTCACTATATCCGCTCTCCCCGGTCCCTGCATTCCCTATATCCGCTCTCCCCGTCCCTGCATTCCCTATATCCGGACTCCCCGGACCCCGCATTCACTATATCCGCTCTCCCCGGACCCCCTGCATTCACTATATCCGTTCTCCCCGGACCCTGCATTCACTATATCCGTTCTCCCCGGACCCTGCATTCACTATATCCGTTCTCCCGGACCCTGCATTCACTATATCTGGTCTCCCCGGACCCCGCATTCACTATATCGGTCTCCCCGGACCCCGCATTCACTATATCCGGTCTCCCCGTACCCCGCATTCACATCCGTTCTCCCCAGACCCTGCATTCACTATATCCGCTCTCTGCGGACCACGCATTCACTATATCAGCTCTCCGCGGACCCAGCATTCACTATATCCGCTCTCCGCGGACCCCCCATTCGCTATATCCGCTCTCCCCGGACCCCACATTCACTATATCCGCTCTCCGCGGACCCCGCATTCACTATATCCGTTCTCCCCGGACCCCGCATTCACTATATCGCTCTCCCCGGACCCCGCATTCACTATATCCGCTCTCCCCGGACCCCGCATTCACTATATCTGCTCTCCCCGGACTCCACATTCACTATATCTGCTCTCCCGGACCCCGCATTCACTATATCTGCTCTCCCCGGACCCCGCATTCACTATATCTGCTCTCCCCGGACCCCGCATTCACTATATCTGCTCTCCCCGGACCCTGCATTCACTGTATCCGCTCTCCCCGGACCCTGCATTCACTATAACTGGTCTCCTCGGACCCCGCATTCACTATATCCGCTCTCCCCGGACCCTGCATTCACTATAACTGGTCTCCCTGCACCCTGTATTCACTATATCCGCTCTCCCCGGACCCTGAATTCACTACAACTGGTCTCCCCGGACCCTGCATTCACTATATCCGATCTCCCCGGACTCTGCATTCACTATATCCGCTCTCCCCGGACCCTGCATTCACTATATCCGCTCTCCCGGACCCTGCATTCACTATATCAGCTCTCCCCAAACCCCACCACCTGGCAGGGGGTCTTCATGAGGAATTTGATGTGTGAATGGTCATTAACATATCTTTTGTTTCCAAGGGTGGGAGAGGTCTGAGGTATGAATTGGTCATAAAAATGTGACACAAGCTTGGTAGGAACATCCTGTGTTCAGTGTTTTGTCCATTTGAGTAGCTTGAAAATGCTTTGCATGCATTGTTTTCATGATGAAAAAAGGCCCTGGACAGCATCGGGAACTGGAAGAGTTAAAAAAATGTTTCAAATGCAAACGCTTATAAACCCGATTTGCCACATTCACAAGGATTTTGCGCTTGAAACGCTGATAAAATCGACTGCTGAACGCAAGTTTTCTGCGTTAAAAAAAAACAACTGTAAACTCAAATGCCTGAAAGCGACTGTAAACGACGATGTGTACATGGACACATAGGAAAACATTAGGGAGAGTTCAGGGGCTGCTGAAAAAAAACTCTGAACAGCTCCTAAACGTGAGTTTATCAGCTGCAGTGTACATGAGTCCTAAGAAGCCTAACACCGCCTGCCTGCTTATTAGAAGCCTGTGTAAAATTGAGACAGTCTTGCTCTCAGAGATAATCAGCTATCCATGCACAAAACATAAAACAACAGCAGAGGTGTACTGCCATTTGACAATAGATTGATTGACTTTAGAAAAAAGTTATTTTTTTGTACTACATGGAATAAAGAACGTAATAAAACAGAAACTCACCATGGTCTCCACCCGAAGTTCGAAGGGCATGGGATTGTAAACCATCAACTGAACTTCACACACATCTCCTTGTACCCACTGGAAGTCTGAAAAAAAAACACAAGACAGTTCAAAGCAGTGAGAGCCGGCTTTCCTTAGATTGGTTATGAATAGTTTTCAATGGTTATGAACAGGGCTTTTTTTCCCTCAAAAAATAGGTGCAGGAACCCCCCCCCCCCATTCTGATTCACTTTATGTTTCCGCCCCCCTACTCACCTCCCAGTACGGCTCCTTTTAGAGAATACAGAGCCAAGTATCATTTTGTGGTGCTGAATAGTTTGTATGGAATTTGTTAATAACAAGAAAAGCAGAAAAATAGATCCTCTAAAACCAGCAACAGTAGATCCCCACTAGCAACAATAGATTCTTCCAGCAACAATGGACCCCCAAACCAAACAATAGACCCCCCCCCAACAAATAAAACATATCTCCCTGCAGTCAGCATCAATAGACAATAGACGCCTCCCTCAGCAGTAGATCCCTTCCAGCAACAATTGATCCCCAAACACAAAATACCACCCTAGAAACAATAGACCCCCCCCAACAGCTACAACAGATCTCCCGGACGTCAGCATCAATAGACAATAGACTCTTCCCTCAGAAGTAGATCCCTTCCAGCAACAATAGACCTCCAACAGATCTCCTGGCAGTCAGCATCAATAGACAATAGACTCCTCCCTCAGCAGTAGATCCCTTCCAGCAACAATTGATCCCCAAACACAAAATACCACCCCAGCATCAATAGACCCCGAACAGCTACAACAGATCTCCCGGCAGTCAGCATCAATAGACAATAGACTCCTCCCTCAGAAGTAGATCCCTTCCAGCAACAATTGATCCCCAAAAACAAAATACCACCCCAGCAACAATAGACCTCCAACAGATCTCCTGGCAGTCAGCATCAATAGACAATAGACGCCTCCCTCAGCAGTAGATCCCTTCCAGCAACAATTGACCCCCAAAAACAAAAAATACCACCCCAGCAACAATAGACCCCGAACAGATCTCCCGGAAGTCATCATCAAGAGACCCCTCTCTCAGCAGTAGATCCCTTCCAGCAACAATTTGATCCCGAACAGATCTCGGAAGTCAGCCGGAAGTCAGCAGCATCAATAGATCCCTTCCAGCAACAATAATTGATCCACAAAAACAAAATACCTCCCCAGCATCAATAGACCCCGAACAGCTACAACAGATCTCCCGGCAGTCAGCATCAATAGACAATAGACCCCTCCCGCAGCAGTAGATCCCTTCCATCAATAACTGACCCCTATCAACAATAGATCCACCACCAGCAACAATAGACCTCTCCATGAACAGACCACCACACAAAAATAGATCCCCTTCAGTGACAATAGATCTCCAACAGCCAGCAACAATAGATCCTACAGCACCCCTTGCCATTACATACATTCAGTGCTGGAACTGCGTTCCTTCACGTTCCCACTGACAAAAATCCCTGGTTATGAATATAGCCGGCAGGGCTGAAACGAGTCAACTGCTGTACTGACAGTATGTCTTTTTTGAGAACAAAAAAATTCAATATTTTAAGACCCTGACATTAGTACATATGATTGCAAAAGATCTGCAGAGTTAAAATTAAAGCGTAGCATCACAACCATGGCATGAGTACAGCATTGTTTCGGGGGGTAGGTCACGCTAAAACCACAGCTCAGCAGCCTGTTTTTACCGCCACCCATGTAAAAGGGCCCTTAGGGTCTTAGCATTTGAATAATGCAACACACTGCTGTTCTGAAAAGCTAAAATCAACTTTATTGTCCCAAGACATCAGAGAACACTCCACATTTGCACCTGCTGATGCATTTTGTCCCTTACAGGAGCTTAAAGTGTTACTAAACCTCGGCCCCGCATTCACTATATACGGTGTCCCAGGGACCCGCATTCGCTATATCCGGTGTCCCAGGGACCCGCAGGGTCTCCCCGGGCCCCGCATTCGCTATATCCGCTCTCCCCGGGCCCCACGCATTCTCCCCGGACCCCGCATTCACTATATCCGGTCTCCGCAGACCCCGCATTCACTATATCTCCCCGGGCCCCTGCATTCACTATATCCGCTCTCCCCGGACCCTGCATTCACTATATCCGCTCTCCCCGGGCCCCACATTCACTATATCCGCTCTCCCCGGACCCCACATTCACTATATCCGCTCTCCCCGGACCCTGCATTCACTATATCCGCTCTCCCGGACCCTGCATTCACTATATCCGCTCTCCCCGGACCCCACATTCACTATATCCGCTCTCCCCGGACCCCGCATTCACTATATCCCGCTCTCCGCAGACCCCACATTCACTATACCTGCTCTCCCCGGACCCTGCATTCACTCCGCTCTCCCTGGACCCTGCTCCCCCCCCCCCCGTCTCCCCCCCGCCCCATTCACTATATCTGGTCTCCCCGGACCCAGCATTCACTATATCTGTTCTCCCTGGACCCAACATTCACTATATCTGCTCTCCCGGACCCAGCATTCACTATATCTGGTCTCCCACGGTACACAGAATATGGAAGTGCAATTATTTTATTAACTATAAACTGCTAGATACCTTTTCAAATCAGCAGTATATAGCAGTCTTGTGACTTCATATGAGCACTGGATAAAGCTTGTAGGAGTTTTCTTTCTGCTCTAGGAGGATGCAGAACCCCTGACCTCTGTCTGCACAGTGCTGATTGGCCCTATGCCGATCACATGCACTCTTCATAAGAAAAAAATAACTTCTCTAGCAATACACACTAAACCGAGCATGTGCAGAAGGGCTACAGGTTCAGTCTGTCTTATCAGTGTGGACATTTGAACAAGAGGAGGGGCAGAGAAGACAGAATCAAACATCCTTCTTACACAATGTAGACGATTAACCCCTTAGGTTCCATAGTGAGTATAACAAGCATGCTTTACTGCATCTACAGACTGATTGTACTGTTGTGGGTTTAGCAGGGTGGATTTGATTTAAATCACGATTTATATCACTAGTCAGTAAGGCTTGATGTAAATCCCAGTTTTCTACATAAAGACTAATTCTTGCTGGTATAACTTTAATATACAAGTAGATGAAGATTTTTAGAATAACAACTTTTCATATTAGTTTTTTTATCCCCAGTTTAATAGGTTAATCATTCATATTTGGACAACTTTTCTGTTGTACTTAGGAAGGAGAAAAATAATCATTACCTTAATAATGACAATTTAAATAGATTTATTCATCTGAAACAATAACATTCCAGCAGATGTGATTTGCTTCAACATCCATGTTTGGGAACCAATTTGGCTAAACAAAATATATACATTTTCAGAAACTTAGACTGTCAGCCCCTCCTCCTCACACTTAGCTTCACTTTCTTCTTGTGCAGATCTATTCCACTCCAAACAATCAGAAAAATATTGTTTCTCTTCTATTCACTGAACTTCTTGAAACTTCGCACTGAAGGGGTTGATTCTGTATTCCTAGGTTTGTAGAAGTTAGGATTAACCGCATGCCGCCCAGCCACTGTACATATACGGCGGCAGGGTGGCACTCACAGGCAAAACCACGTTTTAAGACGTGTGTTTTGTAAACAAATAGGGGGCGCGCGCGAGGCGCGCCGCCGCCCTATTTGTCCCGCGGATCACCGCCGCAGATGTCAGTCGCCGGGTTACAGCCGCTCCTTAGCGGCTATGTCCCGGAGATCGGCGGCAAACAGTGACAGAGAGCACAGCTGCAGTAGCTGTGCTGTCTGTCACTTCCTTCTGAGCTCGAGGATGAGCTGATCAAGAAAGAACAGTTTCTCTTTCTCGATCAGCCTTGTCCCACCCAGTACACACCCCGCCCCTAGTAAAACACTCCCCCTCACTCCTATAACCCTTCCCTGCAAAATAAAGTTAACCCCTTCCTCCCCATTGCCATTAGTACAGTGTCAGTTTTTTTTTTTTTGCACTGATCACTGTATTAGTGTTTTTTGGGGATGTCAGTGACCCCAAGTCAGTACCCCCCAATGTCAGAATGTCTGCCGCAGTCCCGCCATAAGTCGCTGGTCGCTCATAAGTCCCTGATCGCGCCATAAGTCCCTGATCGCCGCCATTATTAGTATAAAAAAAAAACTAAAAATTCCAGTATCTTTCCTGCCATTTGTAAACGCTATAAAACTTTCATGTACACCAATTAATTTACACGTATTGGGTTTTTTTTTTAGCAAAGACATGTCGCAGAATGCATTTTGGCAGAAATTTATGACTAAGTTTGATTTTTGCATTTTTTTTTTTTACTGGACATGTTTTATAGCAAAAAGTCCAAAATATTGTTTTTTTTCCTCAAAATTGTCAGCCTTTTTTTTTTTATAGCGCAAAAAATAAAAACCGCACAGGCGATCAAAAAACCACCGAAAGAAAGCTCAATTTGTGGGGAAAAAAGGATGTAAATTTCATTTATGTACCATATTGCATGACCGCGCAATTGTCTGTTAAACTAGCGCAGCGATGTATAGCAGAAAAAATGGCGTAAATTGCAGTATCTATACCATACTTTGTAGACGCTATAACTTCACCACAAAGCAATCAATATACACTTATTGGGATTTTTTTTACCAAAAACATGGAGCAGAATACATTTTGGCTTAAATTTATGACTAACTTTGAGTTTACGATATATTTTTTATAGCTGAAAGTAGAAAATATTGTTTTTTTTCAAACTTTTCGTGGTTTTTTTTTTGTTTATAGCGCAAAAAATAAAAAGCGCACAGGTGATCAAATTACACCAAAAGAAAGCTCTATTTGTGTGAAAAAAAGGACGTAAATTTCGTTTGGGTGCAGCATTGCATGACCGCGCAATTATCAGTTGAATTAGTGCAGCGCCGAGTAGCAAAAAGAGGCCTGGTCATTAAGGGGGGTAAATCCTCTGGAGCTCAAGTGGTTAAGGTCATTTTCTTAACTCTGTTCATGTTATAACATTTTTTTGCTGTGAAGAAGAGGCATGTGATCTCCGCTGAGTCAAATTCAGTTTTGAGAACTGCAAAAGTAAAACCGAACATCTGTGATAATATCTTGTAGGCAGAGAAACTGCCCAATAATCTTACAGAAACCTGCTGGAAGAGCCTGACATTGTGAATGGATTCATGGAATTTATTTACCAAAAAAATTCAACACTATACAGCCTTATTCTACATAATTAAAAAACGAATCTTTATTTCATGATGGAATAACCTTTGGATGGTGATATATTTTCCTCAAAAAGCATTTTATTTAAAAAAAAAAATCCGATTTAAATAAAAAAAATCCAATTTAAATACAAACAAATCCGATTTTTTTGATTTTTTTTCAAAAATCATTGATTTTTATCCACCCTGGGGTTTAGTAACACTTTAATCACAAAACACGATTGTACTATGTACGTCATATACGTAATGCAGGCCATAGACGGGGAGAAAAACAGCTGATTTTTCTTTTAAAAAACGAAAAAAATCGGTCGTTCAAGCGGCCGACGTTACCAGCAATGGTAAAAAAAAAAAAAAAAAAAAAAAAAAAAAAAAAGCCGATTTTCATCCCGTCTACAGCCGGCAAAAAGTGTCCCTGCAGAGAGCTCCGCTATTTCTTTGACAGTTCTTTGACATTTATAGCGGTTGCAACAATGTATCTATTTGTATCCATTTATGATACAGATGTTTTTATTCAGGAAACAAATAGATACATTGTTGCAACCGCTATAAATGTCAAAGAACTGTCAAAGAAATAGCGGAGCTCTCTGCAGGGACACTTTTTGCCGGCCTGGAATTCCTCTTATTTTTCATCCCTCTTCGATTTTTAAAAAAATTTGCTTCTTCATCATCCATCCTCTTCTTCATCCTCATCCTCGTCTTCTTCTACTTCTCATCCATCTTCTTCATCCTCATCCTTGTCCTCTTCTTCATCATCATCCTCTTCTTCTTCATCTTCATCATCCTCCTCCTCTTCTTCTTCATCTTCATCATCCTCTTCTTCATCTTCATCATCCTCTTCTTCATCATCCTTTCTTCTTCTTCATCATCTTCTTCTTCTTCATCTTCTTCATCATCATCATCCTCTTCTTCTTCATCATCATCTCTTCTTCTTCTTCTTCATCATCATCCTCTTCTCATCATCATCCTCTTCTTCTTCTTCATCATCATCTTCTTCTTCTTCTTCATCATCATCCTCTTCTTCTTCATCATCATCCTCTTCTTCATCATCATCATCCTCTTCTTCTTCTTCATCATCATCCTCTTCTTCTTCTTCTTCTTCATCCTCATCTCTTCTTCTTCTTCTTCTTCATCCTCATCTTCTTCATCTCATCTTCTTCTTCTTCTTCTTCTTCATCTTCATCCTCATCTTTCTTCTTCATCCTCATCTTCTTCTTTATCCTCATCTTCTTCTTCTTCCTCATCTTCTTCTTCTTCCTCTTGCAGGTCACTGCTCATGCGCAGATTTTTTATCGGTAAAAAAAATCGGCCGATTTGCCCATCATTGCCGCGAAAATCGGCCAATCGGCAAAATCGGCCAATTTTTTTTCCAACTTTACCGATAAAAAAAAAATCTGCCAAAATACAGAAAAACGGCCAAACAAATAGCCCACTAACGATCCGAAAATCGGCCGATTTTATTTTCAGCTGAAAAATTGGCCGATTTTCGACCCATCTATGGCCTGCATAAGCCTCAGTTGTGGGCAAAATGTGTCACAAACGGGTGGTAGCGTGTAATGTTCTCTGACGTGCTGGAACAATAAAGTTGGTTTGAACTTTCCCGAATCGCGGCGTGTAGCTTCATTCATACATCTCAGAGTAAGAAAGCACACAAGGCTGGTATGCCTGCGGCGGTATGACCTTAGAGCGGTGCTGAAGGCTTACATGAGCAGCATTTCCATCTACTATCACTATGGAGTATCAGAGCATGGGTACAGAGAGGCAAGGAACGTCTAATAAAGAGTGATGTGAACCACGCCAACTGACTGCAGACCTGAACTTCTGATTCCCTGCGGAGAGGTGGTGCGGTTTAACCGCAGGGAAAGGTCAAAGTGCGACTGGATCCAAAAAGGGTTTTCCAAAGCTGGAGCTTTAAAAACAAAGACGCGGCAAGCAGACATAGCCTGATATAAGTACTGGTGATTTCTTTCTGCACTGAAAATCTGCTTCTATTACAAGAAAACGCCAATTTAACAAGCCGAAGGATTTCACGGCATCTTAAAACGTTGTTTAATGAACGAGACCCACCAGCACCCCGGCGCAGATGCACAACGGATGGCGAGCACCAAATCACGCCGTTCCAATCAGCTCATCTTTTCGCACCATTACACTGCGCTCTGTCCAAACAATCCCTTCGGTAACAAAGTTGTTCCTCTTAACTAATCCATAAATGCATTTTCCTGCATCATGCCTTGCTGTAACTGCTCGGTTTAATGGCTCCTTGAGTGATGGAGAAAAGAGAACCAGTTTGAGCGGATACAAAACAACAAACGTGTCATCAAAGTAATAAACGTGTCCTAAATATCGGCTATGGGGCTCAAGATGGAAAAC